CCTCCCAGGTTCAAACAATTCTCCTGCCTCAGCCTCCCAAGTAGCTGGGCCTACAGGCGCATGCCACCACGCCCAGCTATTTTTTTTGTATTTCTACTAGAGACAGTGTTTCACCATGTTGGCCAGGATGGTCTCGTTCTTTTGACCTCGTGATCCGCCCACCTCGACCTCCCAAAGTGTTGGGATTACAGGTGTGAGCCACTGGGCCCGGCCATTAAGAGAGAAAATTTAAAAACTCCTTGAAACATACAAAAATGGAAAAACAACATACCAAAACCGATGGAATACAGGAAAAGCAGTACTAAGAGGAGACCTTAGAGCAATAAGTACCTTTATCAAAAAAGTAGAAAAACTTCAAATAAACAACCAAATGATGCTTTTTGAAGAACTAGAAAAGAGCAAACCAAACCCAAAGTTAATATTAGAAAAGAAATAATAAGGTGGCTCACGCCTATAATCCTAGCACTTTGGGAGGCTGAGGCAGGTGGATCACCTGAGGTCAGGAGTTCATAACCAACCTGACCAACATGGTGAAACCCCATCTCTAATAAAAATACAAAAATTAGCCAGGCATGGTGGCGCATGCCTTTAGTTCCAGCTACTTGGGAGGCTGAGGCAGGAGAATCGCTTGAACCCGGGAGGCGGAGGTTGCAGTGAGCTGGGATTGTGCCACTGCACTCCAGCCTGGGCAACAGAGCAAGACTCCGTCTCAAAAAGAAAAGAAATAATAAAGAGCAAGAGCAGAAATAAATGAAATTGCAATTTAAAAAATTCAGAAGATCAACAAAATGAAAAGCTGGTTTTTTGAAAAGAACAAAATTGACAAACCTTTAGCCACACTAAGAAAAAAAAGACCCAAATAAGTAAAATCAGAGATGAAAAAGACCTTACAACTGATATCACAGAAATTCAAAGGATCATTAGAGACTACTATGAGCAACTATATGCCAATAAACTGGAAAACCAGCTGGGCGCAGTGGCTCATGCCTGTAATCCTGACACTTTGGGAGGCTGAGGCAGTGGACGCTTGAGGTCAGGAGTTCAGGACCAGCCTAGCCAACATGGTGAAACCCTCTCTACTAAAAATACAGAAATTAGCCGGGCATAGTGGCGCATGCTTGTACTCCCAGCTACTTGGGAGGCTGAGGCGGGAGGACCACTTTGAACCCGGGAAGCAGAGGTTATAGTGAGCAGAGATCGTACCACTGTACCCCAGCCTGGGTAACAGAGTAAGACTCCGTCTCAAAAAAAAAAAAAAAAAAAAAAAAAAAAACAAAAACAAAACTACAGGCTAATGTCTCCAATGAACATTGATGCAAAATCCTCAACAAAATACCAGCAAACAAAATTCAACAACACATTAAAAATATCATTCAGTCAGGGCATGGTGGCTCACACCTGTAATCCGAGCACTTTGGGAGGCTGAGGTGGGTGGATCACTTGAGGTCAGGAGTTCGAGACCATCCTGGCCAACATGGTGAAACCCCATCTCTACTAAAAATACAAAAATTAGCCGGGCATAGTGGTGCATGCTTGTACTCCCAGCTACTTGGGAGGCTGAGGCGGGAGGACCACTTTGAACCCGGGAAGCAGAGGTTATAGTGAGCAGAGATCGTACCACTGTACTCCAGCCTGGGCAACAAGAGCGAAACTCTGTCCCAAAAAAAAAAAAAAAAAAAAAAAAATTCATTCATCATGACCCAGTAGGATTCATTCCAGGGATGCAAGGATGGTTCAACAGGATGGTTCAACATAGGCAAATCAATCAATGTGATACATCATGTCAACCAAAGGAAGAACAAAAGTCATCTGATCATTTCAATGGATGCTCAAAAAGCATTTGATAAAATTCAACATCCTTTCATGATAAAAAAAAAAAAAAACCCTCAAAAAAATGGGTATAGAAGGAACATACTTCAACACACACACAAAAAAGCCACATATAACAGACCCACAGCTAGTATCATACTGAACAGGGAAAAAACGGAAAACCTTTCCTCTGAATTCTGGAACACAATAAAGATGCCCACTTTCACCACTGGTATTCAACATAGTGCTGAAAGTCCTAGCTAGAGCAATCAGTCATGAGAAAGAGATAAAAGGTATTCAAATTAAAAAGGAAAAAGTAAAATTATCCTTGTTTGCAGACGATACAATCTTTTTTTTTTTTTTTTTTGAGACGGAGTCTCGCTCTGTCGCCCAGGCTGGAGTGTAGTGGCCGGATCTCAGCTCACTGCAAGCTCCGCCTCCCGGGTTCACGCCATTCTCCTGCCTCAGCCTCCCGAGTAGCTGGGACTACAGGCGCCAGCCACCTCGCCCGGCTAGTTTTTTTGTATTTTTTAGTAGAGACGGGGTTTCACCGTGTTAGCCAGGATGGTCTCGATCTCCTGACCTCGTGATCCACCTGTCTCGGCCTCCCAAAGTGCTGGGATTACAGGCTTGTGCCACCGCGCCTGGCCCGATACAATCTTATATCTGAAAAAACCTAGACGCCACCAAAAAACTATTAGAACTGATAAAATTAGTCAAGTAGCAGGATACAAAATCAACATACAAAGATCATTTGCATTTATTTATTTTGAGACAGGGTCTCACTCTGTCATCCAGGCTGGAGTTCAGTAGCATGATCATGGCTCATTGTAACCTGCGCCTCTTGGACTCAAGTGATCCTCCCACCTTAGCCACCAGAGTAGCTGGGACTACAGGCATGCACCACCACACCTGGCTAATTTTTATATTTTTTGTAGAGACGGGGTTTTGCCATGCTGCCCAGGCTGGTCTTGAACTCCTAGGCTTAAGTGATCCTCCCGCCTCAGCCTCCTAAAGTGTTGGGATTACAGGCGTGAGCCACTGCATGCAGACTAAGATTTGAAATTAAAGTTCTTCAGAGTTGAATAAAAATTGTCTGGCATTTGACCAAATGCAGTTTAAAAGCACACATTTGAAGAAGAGTTGAATGAGCATGAGATAAATAATGAATGAAAGGAAATAATTCAACCAAATATGAAAATCAAATTATTTTATTGTAAAAATTTATATAAAATAACTCATAAGGGCAACAGTTAAAAAGAAGTTAAACAGAACTAACCGAACGTATAAGACATTTCAAATAAAAAATAATAAAAGTCTTGCTAGCTTGCTTGAAAGTATATCTCTTTTAGATATATAATACTTTATATCCTAGACTTAAAATTGTGATTTCCATTACACTTAATTAGTATATGAAATATTAAGTACTATTTTTAAAAGACAGGTTCTCAAACTCAAGGATTAACAAACATTTGCAAAGTGAGCACCAAAGTCTTTGTATATTTGTTAACAAAAACACAAATCCAGAATACAAAATCTATCTGAAATTAAGCAAATATCAAATTATTTAAATACGACTCTGCCTGTATAAAGAGAAAATTAAAATCTTAGTTACACACAAAGTTTTGCACACAATGGGTTTTGTCAGTACACATTTTATTTTTTTTGAGACAGAGTTTCGTTCTTGTCGCCCAGGATAGAGTGCAATGGCGTGATCTTGATCTTGGTTCACTGCAACCTCTGCCTCCTGGGTTCAAGGGATTCTCCTGCCTCAGCCTCCCGAGTAGCTGGGATTACAGGCACCTGCCACCACACCCAGCTAATTTTTGTATTTTTAGTAGAGACAGGGTTTCACCATGTTGGGCAGGATGGTCTCAAACTCCTGACTTCAGGTGATCCGCCCGCCTTGGCCTCTCAAAGTGCTGGGATTACAGGCGTGAGCCAAGGCGCCTGGCTGTAAGTACACTTTTTTGTTTGTTTCTTTTGAGATGGAGTCTCCCTCTGTCGCCCAGGCTGGAGTGCAGTGGCGCAATCTCAGATCTCTGCAAGCTCCACCTCCCGGGTTCACGCCATTCTCCTGCCTCAGCCTCCAAGTAGCTGGGACTACAGGCGCCCACCACCACGCCCAGCTGATTTTTTTTTGTATTTTTAGTAGAGACGGGGTTTCACCGTGTTAGCCAGGATGGTCTCAATCTCCTGACCTCCTGATCCGCCCACCTCGGCCTCCCAGCTGGGATTACAGGTGTGAGCCACGGTGCCCAGCCTTTCTTTTTTGATACAAAGTCTCGCTCTGTCACCCAGGCTGGAGTGCAGAGGCACTATCTTGGCTCACTGCAACCTCTGCCTCCCGGGTTCAAGCAATTCTCCTGCCTCAGCCTCCCGAGTAGCTGGAACTACAGGTGGCTGCTACCTTGCCTGGCTAATTTTTGTATTTTTAGTAGAGACAGAGGTTCACCATACTGGCCAGGCTGGTCTCAAACACCTGACCTTGTGATCTGCCCGCCTTGGCCTCCCAAAGTGCTAGGATTACAGGGGTGAGCTACCATGCCCGGCCTTGTCAGTAAACATTTAAAAAAAATCAAAATAACTCAGCCACCATTCCTTAAAGTCTTTGTACAAATATGTGCTAGAAACTAAAAGGACTTTTAATAATTTCAAGATTACATAGAAAAATACATTTTTTGTTGTTGAAATTACAAATAGTTTTGCTTTTGAACTTATAAACATTTTCGGGATTCAGTCCAAAGTTTCTAGAGAACAGTTTCTATAAATATACTTAAACTTTTCGTAGAGATGGGGTCTTCTCACTTTGTTGCCCAGGCTGCTCTCAAACTCCTGGGCTCAAGCAATCCTCTGGCCTCAGCCTCCCAAAGTGCTGGGATTACAGGTGCAGTTTCAATATTAATGTGGATTTTTCCCCCATTAAAAAAGGAAAGAATTCTATCTGAAAACCATACTTAACAGAGTCCATTTTCCCCAGTAAGTTCTCCCTCAAAACCAGTCATAAGCTTTCACATATAAGCTCTTCCCATAACTATTTTGAAGAAAATTTGCTACTTCACATGTTCTCCTTACTCATTTAAAATGAGATTTTGTAGTTATTTGGTGACAAACTATTGTTTAGACGACTTTGTCCAAATATGTACTGATATCAGACAAAAAGTAAATATCTGCAAATATCTGAGGCTATCTCAATTTAAACAACAAGAATTTTATTTACATGATGATCACAGGTAACTGTTGATTCAAATAAGACGTTCTGTGTTGATTAATGCCATTACTCTACAAATAGTCCTTTTAAAAGCTACGTTCAAATTTCCCATGCCATGCATTTCACAACGAGGACCTGGATTCAGGTAGTAGGTTAGAAAGCCTATGATCAATCATGACAAGCTGATTTTGACTAACAGTCATCCCGTTAAAAAAATGAAAGCCACAAACATGTGCTTTCTTGCCCCTTTCTGGACAGCAACCAGTCACAGAATATTTTAGGATATATTGCATAGAATGGCTCCCTCAAACAAATCAGTCCTCTGAAAGCACAGGATAAAAAGAATGTTTGGGAAATATTTTCTGTAAGGTCACTACATTAAAAATTATCCTATATCTATCTTTATTTTTTTTAGTCTTCCCAACAAAGAATCTGCTATGTAATTTCTATTAATAGCTCTAAAAGATGGGGAAAGTATTTTATCCTCAGGCAGACACTTTCAGTTTCTTTTTCTTGGCTTTCAGTACTGGAGGCAGAGAAATCTTAAAGGCTGTCCTGAAATTACAGAGAGGAAAACATGTTTCAATATTCTAGAGCTGTGAAGTATTAGCCACCCACACAATCTCAAAGATACTTACTCGCACGTAGTGCAAATGGGGCTGAAATTGCAGAATACTGTAAATTAAAAAAAAAAAAGAAACAATGGGGTGGCTGAAAAAACAACACAGTTGAGAAACTGTTTTCCTGCCCCCAAACACAGAAAAAAAAGAAAAACTAGGTACATGAACTTACTTGACAAACACACAGAACAGACATAACCAATTTCAATGAGATTTCGATGACAGAAGCAAGCAGCCCTGTAGTCAACATGAACTGGGGGTGGGAGGATTAACTGAGATCTCTGATCTTGATCGGGAAGAAACACCCACTGTAAAACAAACAAACAAACAAAAGAAACTTTTATTTAAAAAATGGGAAAAAAATAACGTGAAGCCCCACCCTTCTAGGCCTTGGAACTCCAACGCCTGCATTTATTGCTTTCTCCCGAGTACTAGCACCAGCCATCCTGCTTCCATTCCTTTCCCAGGACACAGAGGTCATCCTTCCCTACAGGCATCAGGGTCACCACTGCTGTCTCCTTACCAGCAAATACTGCAGAAGGGAGGGCATCTGAGGCACCTTCAGGTACAGTCCTCCCGTGATGTCACAAGCCTGCAAGACACAGAGGGCTTGCTGCCAAGCTCACACTTACCTAGGGTTTCCAGAGGAATGGGATTCTCACCAGCAATGCCTCAGGTCTACAAAATCAGAGGAGGATATGACACCGCAAATTATTATTATTATTATTTATTTTTATTATTTTGACAGAGTCTTGCTCTGTTGCCCAGGCTGGAGTGCAGTGGCACAATCTCGGCTAACTCCAACCTCTGCTTCCGGGTTCAAGTGATTCTCCTGCCTTAGCCTCCCGAGTAGCTGGAATTACAGGCATGCACCACCACGCCTGGCTAATTTTTGTATTTTTAGTAGAGACGGGGTTTCGCCAGTCACATGGTAATTCTATGTTTAACTTTTCCAGGAAGTTGTGAACTGTTTCCTGAAGCGGCTATACCATTTTACATTTCCAGCAGCACTGTAGGAGGGATCCAACTTCTCTATATCCTCACCAACATTTATTATTAGCTGACTTTTGGATAACAGCTGTCCTAGTGGAGTCAAGTAATAGCTCACTGCGGTTTTGACTTACACTTCCCTGGTCAGTAACGATATTAAGCATCTTTTCATGTGCTTCTTGGCCATTTGCAGATCTTTGGAGAAATATCTGTTCAAATCCTTGACCTACTTTGAAGTGAGTTATTTGTCTTATTTTTGAATTTTAAGAGTTCTTTATATAATCAGAATACTAGTCCCTTTATCAGATACATCATTTGCAAATATCTCTCCCAGTTGTCTTTTTACCTTGGAAGCACAAAAATTTTTAATTTTCATGAGATTTGTTTTCATTGTATTTTGTTAATTTTATTATGTAAAAAGAAACTGTGAGATGGCTTTATTCTGTTCTCTTTAAGAAATAACACTTTTTGTCTAGGTGCAGTGGCTCATGCCTGTAATCCTATCACTTTGGGAGGCCAAGGCTTCAGGACTGTTTGAGCCCAGGAATTCAAGACCAGCCTGAGCAACATAATGAAACCCCGTCTCTACAACAAATTTAAAAAATTAGGCCGGGCGCGGTGGCTCATCTCTGTAATCTCAGCACTTTGGGAGGTCAAGGCAGCAGATCATTTGAGGTCAGCAGTTCAATACCAGCCTAGCCAACAGGGTAAAACCCCGTCTCTACTAAAAATATAAAAATTAGCTGGGCGTAGTGGCGGGCACCTGTAATCCCAGCTGCTTGGGAGGCTAAGGCAGGAGAATCGCTGGAACCCAGGAGTTGGGGTTTCAGTGAGCCAAGATCACACCACTGCTCTCCAGCCTGGGCGACAAGAGCGAAACTCCGTCTCAAAAAACTACAAAATTAGCCAGGCAGTGTAGTGCATGCCAGTGATCCCAGCTACTCAGGAGACTGAGTGGGAGGATCACTTGAGCTGGGGAGGATGAGGCTGCAGTGAGCCATGATCACGCCACTGCATTCCAGCCGGGGCAAGGACAAGACCCTGTCTCAAAATAAAATAAAATAAAAATAACACTCTTTTGAATTTGGTCCTCTTTTTCTAAGCTTTTGCTATCTTCAGAGTTTTCTAAAGACACAAAACACTCGCGCTCTCCTGGTTGCTGACACTAAGGTTTCCTGTCCATGTTCATGGTTTTTCCCAACAATCACTCATCTATTCATCTGATAAACACACGGCAGTGCTTCCATTTACACTGAAAACCCTAGCTCTGATCCTAGGACCTTGAGGCTCCTCTGAAAGTACTGTCCTGGTTCAGTTGGTCTGTTAGATTCATTTACACATTTAACAACTGTTTTAGAGCACCGTGCAGGGTTACAGCAATAAACATCACAGAGTCCATCCTCGTGAAGTTAACATTCTAGTGGAGAAGGCAGAGAGTAAATCAGGTAAGTAAATGCACAAATGATGTTACAGGTTATGATCATTTCTATGAAGAAAAATAAAGTAGGCTAAGGGGAGTGGGAGTAACACTAACAATGGTGGTCAGGGAAGGCTTCTCTGAGGAGGTGACACAGAAGTAGAGACCTGAAGGCAGGCAGGGAGTAGGCCATGCAAATACCTGCGGGAAGAGCTTGCAAGCAGAGAGAACAGCAAGTGCATCGCCCCTCTGGCCGAAGCAGGCCTGTTTCAGACAACAGCAACGGGGCAGGGCGGTGGGGCCAGACTGAACAGGGAGAGTGTGGAAGACACCGGGCAAAAGCTTCCCAGGAGCCTCAGCAAGCAGCATCTGGAAGGCCCTGGCAGGCCTTGACTCTGGGTTTTAGTTGACGTGTGATAATAGGCCATGGGGGTTTTTAAGCAAGTGAGCAACAGGTTCTAATTTATATTAGGTTGGTGCAAAAGTAATTGCGGTGTTTACTGCTAAAAAGAGAGGCAAAAACCGCAATTACTTTTGCACCAACCTTGTATTTTGAAAGCTTCATTCTGACAGCTGTTCTGAGAACCAACTTTCAACATTTATTTATTTTTTTAAAAAAAGGGAGACAGGGTTTCCCTGGAGTGCAGTGGCATGATCATAGCTGACTGCAGCTTCGAACTCCTGAGCTCAGCCAGGAGATATATATACACATATATATAGATATATATATATATATTTTTTTTTTGAGATAGAGTCTTGCTCTGTCACCCAAGCTGGAGTGCAGTGGCGCAATCTCGGCTCATGTAAGCTCCGCCTCCTGGGTTCATGTCATTCTCCTGCCTCAGCCTCCTGAGTAGCTGGGACTACAGGCGCCTGCCACCATGCCCGATTAATTTTTTGTATTTTTAGTAGAGACAGGGTTTCACCGTGTTAGCCAGGATGGTCTCGATCTCCTGACCTTGTGATCGTCCACCTCAGCCTCCCAAAGTGCTGGGATTACAGGTGTGAGCCACCGTGCCAGGCCTCAGCCAGGATATATTTTAAAGGCGGAATCAACAGGATTTGCTCATGGTTATGAAAGGAGGGAAGAGAAGAGACAAGGAAGAGTTAGGTTTTTGCCCGAGGTGCTGAGTGAACTGCACTGCCACTTAGGGAGATGGGGCAGGAAGAGGCTGAGAGGACAAACCAAGAGCTCTCTGGTTTGGACACATGACGCTGAAGATGCCTGCCAGACGTCCAAGAGGAGGTGCTACATACACGGCTGACTCTGCAAGTCTGGAACTCAGGACAGTCTGGGACTGGACTAGAGAAATGAACGTGAGGGCCAAGGAGGTAGAGCTGGTATGTGAATTCATGGCAGAGACAAGATCGTCTTGGAGTTAACAGACAACGTGTAGACTGAAATGTGTTGCTAAGAAATGAATTCAAACTTTTTGAATTTTTACTACTGAAATACAATACGTACAAGAGTCTATATACACAATGTGTAAGTATGGTTTAAATAATCAAATGAACATCATATACCTATGATCAAGCTGAAGAAACAGTAGAGTCTCAGAACCTTTGAAGCCTGTGAATTTTCCCATTGGACCTCGCTCTCCCCATCCTTCATCCCCAGCAGTAACCTAAATTCAGGGTTTGTCACAGTTTTGTGCTTGTAACTGATCCTTTAGGAAACAACATTTGTGGCCAAAAAACATCTAACAAAAACTCTGTAATTTCTTCAGACTTACTTTAGGGTTTTGTTTCCTTTGGGTTAAAGTAAAATTCAGTTTTTGTCTTTTTCATTAAAAAGCAACGTCTGACAGTGCTGCCCAGCGGAAATAGAATGCAGGCAATATGTAATTTAAAATGTTCCAGCAGCTCCACACGCAAGGGGGAAATAAACAGATAAAATCAGGTTCAATAACATACTGTATTTAACCCAATATACCCAAAGCACTTTCATTTTAAATTGTAATCACTATAAAAATCACTAATTATCATAACCACCCACACAAAGCATGGTTTTAAAACATACCTGTTGGAGGAGCCCTGAGTCGGAATCTAAAACACAGGCATCAATCAAAATATTCTGAAAGAAACGTTTTGAAAATATTACAGAAATAATAACAGTAATGATTACCCTATACTGAGAACCTACTACATGCCATACTCTATGCTTAAAATAGCTCCCTCAATACGTAACGTGACTCTGCACGGCAGATATTTGCATTTGGCAGCTGAAGCACCCAGGACATGGCTGGGCTGTGGTCACAGAGCCAGCGGGTGGGAAAGCTCTCACCCCACTCGGCCTGTCTCCAAAGTTCAGGCTCTTTTCACTACATCATGCTGTCACTCCACAACAGAGAACATTATGCATGGCTATAGCAGCATTTTATGTTAAGACTGAAGTTTTGTTTTGTTTTTTTGAGGCAGAGTCTAGCTCTGTTGCCCAGGCTGGAGGGCTGTGGCGCGATCTCCACTCACTGCAAGCTCCGCCTCCCAGGTTCACATCATTCTCCTGCCTCAGCCTCCCGAGTAGCTGGGACTACAGGTGCCCACCACCACACCCAGCTACTTTTTGTATTTTTAGGAGAGACGGGGTTTCACCATGTTAGCCAGGGTGGTCTCGATCTCCTGACCTTGTGATCTGCCCGCCTCGGCCTCCCAAAGTGCTGGGATTACAGGCATGAGCCACCTCGCCCGGCTAACACTGAATTTTTAAGAAGGTTTTCTTTCTTTATAAATACATCAAAGAAGAAAATGTATCATACTTCATCTGAACATTTCAACTCTTTGCAAAGTAAAAATATTGAATCTTTATAGATCTCACCACAGCAAAAAGATAAAGAAATTGAGGCAAGGTTTACACAGCAAACTGTCAAACCAGAGTTTCTTGGCATAGGGTCCATGGATGGGCTAAAGGTTACCTGAATGCCATGAAACTCTATGCAAAACTGTGGTTGAGTGCACATTGTTCTGGGAATGCATCAGCTTCTCAAGTGGTCCAGGACCCAAAATAGAAAAAAAGACTAGAACATTCCTTGCCCATTCATAAGGTTACGTAGTCAGAATACCTTAGAGTACAGCATTCAAAAAATGAAACTGACTCCTTCATTATGAAACAAATACTTTAAATGGCAGGCTCTCAGTTCACCTGTTTCTGTGCTGCGAAGATGACATTCATGAAGTTCATATACTGCAACGCACTGTCTTCTGCAGCCTTAATCACCTAAAAATCACAGTCATGTTAATTCTGCCCAGGCACATCCCAGTCCTCTCACACCAATGTCACATAATATATTGCGAACCACAACCAACATTACTCCAGTTTGCCTTCCCATTTATCATTGTTAAATGATACCTAAAGTATAAAGATAACAGTAACATTTCCCCCAAAATCCTACCACCCAAGGACAGTCCACATAAGGGTTTGATGAACTCCTTCTGGGGAGCACCTACGCGGGCAGCGTTATAGTACCATGCCTCCACACAACACCATGAACACAACATAGCACAGAACATACATACTTATCACACCAACAGCACACCCAAATACACACCGCCAAAATAACACAGCACCCCACAAATATCCGCGCCCTGCACACCCGCAAAATACCACCCACTCCCAACATTACACACACCTACCCAACCCAAAATATACATGCACACCAAACTGTACCGTACACCAAGACCATACACAAAACTATCTCACCCAAAATAATACATATGCACACCCAAATATACACATGACCCGCCAAAATAACACCCAAAATACACACCATCCCAAAATACACACCCAAAAGACACAGACACACACCCAAAAATACACCACTGGCAAAATTACATACAAACACCCAAAATTCACAGGTATGCACATCCAACACGCTCTCCACACCCAAATACACAGGTAGCGCACACCGAAAATACATAGGACACTGCAAAATATACACCCCAGAAAGTACCAACCCCAAATACACACACCAAACCACACAACAGAAACCAATAAACACACCCCCAAAATACACACCTCAAAATAGCAACACCCAAATCACACATCTGAAAATATACGCAAACGCCCAAAACACCCAAACACGACAACATACCAAAGTACTGAACGCACACATCCAAAATATACACACATACACACAACCAGAATACCGAACACACAGGTGCCAAAATACAACGAGCTCACGATGTGTCAGGATGATTACTGTAGCATTCTGCAACCTGCTTTTGTTGAGTCCGACAATATATGGGTGGGAAAACGAATATTCTTGTTTTTTTTGGTTTTGTTTTTTTGTTTTGGGGGGTGACGACGCTCTCGCTCTGTACGTCCCAGGTGTGGAGTGCAGTGGCAAGGATTCCAGGCTCGCGGAGGTGGCAAGCTCCGCCTCCCGGTTTGCACCATGTCTTCTGCCTCAGCTCCCTAGTAGCTGTACTACAGACTACAGGCACCGCGACCTCGCCAGGGCTAGTTTGTTCCTGTATTTTTTAGTAGAGACGGGGTTTCACCGTGTTAGCCAGGATGGTCTCGATCTCCTAACCTCGTGATCCACCTGTCTCGGCCTCCCAAAGTGCTGGGATTACAGGCTTGAGCCACCATGCCCGGCGGGAAAAAATATTCTAATGTCCATGAATTAGAATATGTACTTCTAGAATATATGCTTCTTGCAGACTTCATAAATTTCCACTATTTAAGCAGTTTCCGATTCTCAGTTTTAAACAATGTTCTGATGACACCCTCATATACTCTCTACACAGCTCTCTAATTACCTCCGGAAAATAAGCAGTGATTACTAAAGTGTATGCACATTTAATTTTGATACAGATTACCAAAATGCACCCCAGAAAAATTTTTACCAATTTATCCTCCTATCAGCAATGCATGAGAATAACCAATCCCCAACATCACCATCAACCCCGGGAACTGCCAGCTTTTTCATTTGTGCTAAACAACCGTGATCCACGTGCCTCGGCCTCCCCAAGTGTTGGGATTACAGGCGTGAGCCACCACGCCCGGCCAATTACTTGACATTTCTTTGCTTACTAGTAAGACTGAACATATTTTCAAATGCTAAAACTGACCTTTTGCTTTTGCAGACTGCTCGTTTTCTACTTGTTTTTCTAAAGCTTGACTTTTAACAATGAATTTATGGCCGGGTGCGGTGGCGTGAGCTACTGCACCCAGCCTTCTTCTAGTACTATTATGACTTGAACTTTTACACTGAAATGTTTGATCTTTACTGGAATATATTTAAGTGTAAGTGGTGAGACAAGGAACAAGCTCTGTTTTTCCCCAAATGGCCAATCAGTTGGGCCAGCACCTTTTACTGAGCAACTCATTTTCTCCCCACTAATTTGAAGTGCTTCCTCTGTGACAAGTCCAGCTCTCCCATGTACATGGTTTGATTACTGGACTCTAGTCTTTCCTATTTTGTTTGTGTGCTCTGTGCTACTACCACACAGCGACTTGCTCTACATCGTGTTATAAGGACTAATGCAGCAAGCTCCTACTTACTACTCCTTTTCAGAAAGTTCGTGACTATTCTTTTAAATTTATTCTTCCAGATAAACTGTTGAATTTCTCTTTTTTTTTTTTTTTTTGAGATGGAGTCTTGCTCTGTAGCCCAGGCAGGACTGCAGTGGTGCAATCTCGGCTCACTGCAACCTCCACCTACCGGGTTCAAGCGATTTTCATGCCTCAGCCTCTTGAGTAGCTGGGACTACAGGTGCCCACCACCACACCCAGCTAATTTTTTGTATTTGTATTAGAGATGGCGTTTCACCATATTGGCCAGGATAGTCTCAAACTCCTGACCTCTTGATCTGTCCGCCTTGGCCTCCCAAAGTGCTGGGATTATAGGCGTGAGCCACTACACTCGCCTTGAATTTCTTTTTTAAATCTCCCCACCCTGCCAGGAAAAAAAAAACCTCCCTGATATTCTGACTGAGATTGTAAATTGAGTTTACAGTATGATTTTGGGAAAACTGACAACCAAGAGCAAAATATGGCTCTCCATTTATTCTTCTATCTCTCTCAGAATTTTAGTTTTCCTTATCATCACTTTTACACACTGCTTGTTAAATGAACCCTGGATAGTTAATATTTTTTGCTCCTACTATAAATGGGTTTATTTCCCACCATGTTTTCTTTTTTTTTTTTTTTGAGACAGAGTCTGACTCTGTCACCCAGGCTAGAGTGCAGTGGCGCGATCTCAGCTCACTGCAACCTCCGCCTCCCAGGTCCAAGCGATTCTCCTGCCTTGGGCTCCTGAGCAGCTGGGACTATAGGCATGCACCACCACGTCCAGCTAATTTTTGTATTTTGAGTAGAGATGGGGTTTCACCATGTTGGCCAAGCTGGTCTCGAACTCCTGACCTCAAGTGATCTGCCCGCCACGGCCTCCCAAAGTGCTGGGATTACAGGTGTGAGCCACCACACCCGGCCTCCCATTATGTTTTCTAATTATCTATAGTTGTCATATAAAAAAGTAATGATTTTTTAATCTTACCAATATCCTTGACTTCATTTCCTGATTATCTATAAAGAGAAAAAAGCAGAAAAAAATTTAACTAGATCTTATTAATCATATATGGTTTCCTAACCAATTTTTAAATAGTCCAGCAAAGAAATACTAGTAAAATAAGTAGGATTATAGTTCTCATAGGAAAATGCAGGCTCTTACCTTTAATTTCCTTGCTCATTCTGTGAATGTCTTAATTTCTTAACATTAAGGAATACAAAAATATTATTTTACTTCATAAATATTTATAGTAAAAAGAAATATAACCTCCAATTTTAAATAAACCCAGCATCTACCTAGCTAAGAAGGGAAATGCTCCACTTACCAAGATAAATACACGAGAGTGATTGGGGGTTTTCAGTTACTAACTCTGCAGTCAATTGGGCTTTGTAATCTAACCAAAATATAATCTCTGTCCCAGAAAATTGAAATTCCCAACACTTGACTGTCCTATTGTTATCTACCGTGTCCTAAATTTGAATCCTGGGACAAGAAGTATTGATTTACAAAGATGTTCAGGCAACTCACATCAAACTCTAGAACGAAATAATCACTCAATACTGCCCCTCCCCCAAAAATTAATGCCATAAGACTGAGAAAACATCACACGGATAAAATGGAAAGGTATTGCCCTAAGCTACATGCAAAACCATCTGTTCACCTGTGGAGAAGTGGCCACTCATTTATTAAGCTTCAGGGCTCCTCAACGGCTTTTAAAAATCAAACACTGTTCCCAAGTCAAGAAGAAAACGAAAACGTTTAAGAAGTCTGAATTTATCAAAATAAGAAACAAGAAAGCACCCTGAAGCAGTGTTTCTTGCAGGCAGAAAGACATAATGGAGAAGCTAGAGTTTTCTCACTCTTCCCCATTTCCAGTTTTTACAGCTTGTCTTAAAAAACATTTCAAAGCCAGCCACGCACAGTGGCCTGTAATCCCAGCACTTTGGGAGGCCGAGGTTGGCGGATCACTTGAGGTCAGGAGTTCAAGACCAGCCTGGCTAACTTGGTGAAACTACATCTCTACTAAAAATACAAAAAAATTTAGCCGGGTGTGATGGCAGGCACCTGTCCCAACTACTTGGGAGGCTGAAGCAAGATAATTGCTTGAATCCAGGAGGCGAAGGTTGCAGTGAGCCAAGATTGTGTTACCGCACTCCAACTTGGGTTGACAGACTAAGACTCTGTCTCAAAAAAAGAAAAATTCAAAACCAATATAAACTATTTTTTAAAAATTACCCTTCAGTTGAGAGTACTCACACCTCTCATTAATGGGCACCCAAGGTTTTAAGAAATATCACAAGTTAAGATGTGTTTATTACAGAAGACACCTTTTAAATGATTCAGACACCAAGGATACAGCAAAGTGCTTTGGCCAGGGATCCTGCCAGCAAAGTTTCTGTATGTTGACCCTTTATGTCACCTGCAAATAACAGAAAATATTTAAAAGGGAATTTTTAAGTACTTTCTTGAACTAAAATAATTGGGTGCTTTCCTGAACTAAGTATGCTTTCAAACCAAAACACTCTTCATGAATGAAATCAAACAAGACATTTTCAAACTAGATTTAAAAACACAGCAATGTGTTCTTGGTAATGGTTAACTAAGCAACTTTTTAACCTTTTCTCAATGTAAAACATCCTGGTGTTTGTTCAGGGGCTAGTGGGAGGGCAAGGGGGAACAGGGAGTTACTGTTCAACAGGTACGGAATTTCAGTTTGTAAAGATGAAAAAGTTCTGGCGATAGACGGCGGTGATGATTGCAAAACAAGGCGAATATACTCAACATTACTGAACTGTACACTTAAATATTGTCAAAATGGTAAATTTTATGGTAAGTAAATTTTACATTAGAAATTCTAAAAATTGGTAAAATGGCAAATTTTGTTATTTGTACTTTACCATACACACACACAAGATCCTGTTTTTACTTGGAAAAGTTCCAGTTTATTCATAATCTATGTGGTACAAAATGTCACGCATAAGTCTAGCAGACTGGACAGAGTACAAGGCTCTGAGGCCCCCTGCCCTCCCTCTCCCACCATCCCCTCCTTCCCTCTGCGCTCAGCCAGTGCAGGGAAGACTGGAGAAACTCTTTCCTCTAGCCATGAGAAGCAGGGAGGAGTTTGCCACTTGTTTGGTGCCCTGGGTGAAAAAAGTCACTCAAGATATCAAAATCCTAAAACTACAGTTCAAGAGGGCAAGGAGCCCAGATTGACACTCTGTGCAAGCCAGCTTAGAGCTGGTCCAGGAGAACTGACGCCCCATGGGTGAGGTCAGACCAGAAAAGGTCTTGAACACTATACTGTGAAGCTGAGCTGAGACTTAATCCTGGAGGCCAGTGACTCTCAAAGTGAGATTCTGGAACCAGCTATAGGGGCACCACCTGGGACTGTAATAGAAATATAAAGTCTCCGGACCTCCCTAGATCCAGTGAATTGGAAACTGAGTGGGGCCTGACACTGTTTTAACAAGACTTCTAGCTGATTTTTTAACAGGTTTATAATTTACAAACCATAAATTCTGGTCTAAAAGTACTTTTAGGGATGCAATTTAATTATTTTTAGTAAATTTACAATTATGCAATCATCATCACAATCCAATTTTAGAACAGTCTCCTATTACCCCAAAAGATCACTTGGGCCCATTTGCAATCACTCCCGAGTCTCTCTGCCCAGCCCTGGGCAACCACTAACCAACTTTCTGTCTCTATAGAATTGTCTTTTCCCTCAGGTGATTCTGATTCAGGCTAAGGTTTGGAAACCACCACCTGCAGGCAGAAGGGAGCCAGGAAAGGCCTATGGGCCCAGGAATAGCAGCTTTGATTTTTAAGATGATAACTCTGGAGGCTGAGTGCAAAGACTTGACTGGGAAGACAGGAGTCAGAAAACCAGTTAGAAGCTATAACAATCATCTAGAGTGGTGGCTCTAAACGTGGGGTGAATGTGCCCTACAGGGGGCATCTGCAATGTCTGAAGACATATCTGGTTGTCACAACTAGGGGATATTATGGTGTCTAATGGTCCAAGGCCAGAAATGCTGCTAAACATCCTACAACGCATAGGGCAGCTGCCACAACAAAGAATTATCCAGCCCAAAATGTCAATAGTGCTGAGGTTGATCAAGATGACAATAAGGGATGGGGCCTGGGTGTGGTGGCTCACACCTGTAATCCCAGCACTTTGGAAGGCCGAGTCGGGTGGATCACCTGAGGTCAGGAGTTCAAGATAAGCCTGGTCAGCATGGTGAAACCCCGTCTCTACTAAAAACATTAAAAATTAGCCAGGCGTGGTGGTACGTGCCTGTAATTCCAGCTACTTGGGAGGCTAAGGCAGGAAAATTACTTGAACCCAGGAGGTGGAGGTTGCAGTGAGCTGAGATCACGTGCCATTGCACTCCAGCCTGGGCGACAAGGGCGAAACTCCATCTCAAAAAAAAAAAAGATGACAATAGGGATGGGGGCTGGGTGTGGTGGCTCATGCCTATAATCCCAGCACTTTGGGAGGCAGAGGCAGGAGGATAGCTTGAGCCCAGGAGTTCCAGACCAGCCTGGGCAACGTAGCAAGACCCCATCTCTATAAAAATTTTTAAAAATAAAAAATAAAAAGATGACAATAAGGAGTGGGATTCTGGAGACACTTCTGAGGCTAAACAACTAGGATTTTGTAGCTGATTAGATGTTGGATGTGAGGAGGAGTTAAAAATGAAAGCTTTAAGTTTAGAAAACTAGGTGGATGGGGGCGGACAGAAATAGAATGGAAATGGTGGTGTGATTGAGAGCAAAGATAATGAGACTAGCCGGGGCCATGTCAAGAGACTGTGGGATGCTGAAATGGAGGCATTTGAGCGTGAAAGAAAGTCTGGGTTAGAGACAAAGTTGGAAAGTGTCCATATATAAAAGATAATTAAAGGCAAAAGTGGATAAGAACATACAGAGGGAGAAAAGATGAAAATCATGTGTCGAATTAAAAACGTATTTTAAGAGACAAGATGAAGGAAAAGCCAGAAATAGAGACTAGAAGTAATGTTTCAAGAAAAGAGGAAAAACAGGTCACAGGGCATTCTTAGAAGCCAAAAGACATGTTTCAAGAAGTAAAGGCTGGTCAGCAGTGTCAAATGCCGTAGAGGCTAGGCAAATAACGAACCGACTTTGATGAAAATGATTTTTAAAAAGAGAGAACGTGCAGGCATACAATATAAAGAATCCACATCTTTTAACTTAAAGCCTAAAGGACCTCCAAAATCAACCCTATTTGCAAAATAACAATTTTTAAAAGCTATTACTTTTGGTCATTAGATCTTTAATCTCTTCAACAATAACTTCATTCGCTGAGGTTAAAAGTTCGTATTTTCCATCTTTACTCCCAGAGGGATTAAATTCAGGAGGGTTGCCAGGGTCTCCGAAGAAGTCTCCAAGTCTGCCATTCTTTCCAGGATATAAGAATCGGCTGAAACAGCAGGGGAAAAAAACCTGGTTACACCAGGACTCACTGCCCATGCTCACTCATGATCAGAATGAAATTCAGCAGACAACAAACAAAATCACAATGTGGGATTCACAAAATTCTACAGTCAATTTCATTTTTTTAAAAATGTGTAAGATAAAATTTTTTTTTTAATGTGTAAGAAAAAGGGTATAAAAACAAAGTAAAAATGTATAAAATAGGCAAACTGACCACAGAATGTTTTACTGGTTCCAGTGTTTTCTGAAAAGTGTGGGGAAATACAGAGGGTGTTGGGTTATCATCTCCGAAATGCTGCAGAGGGGTGCCTGTGCCTTCCTTTCTCAAATGACAACCACAACAGGTTCATACCAAATTCCAACTCACTACTAGTTCATTATTTGAGGTACACATCCATCCCAGTAATACAAATCTGGTCCAAAGGTCCCTGAAAAGATTCTCCCAGTGATTCATGACTCTTTTTTTGTTTGAGACACAGTCCCGCTCTGTCACCCAGACTGGAGTGCAGTGGTGCAGTCTCAGCTCACTGCAACCTCCACCTCCCGGGCTCAAGTGATTCTCGTGCCTCAGCCTCCCGAGTAGCTGGAATTACAGGTGTATACCACCAGGCCCCAGCTAATTTTTTGTATTTTTAGTAGAGATGGAGTTTCACTATATTGGCTGCTATGTATGGCTGGTCTCAAACTCCTGACCTCAAGTAATCTGCCCACCTCAGCCTCCAGAAGTGTTGGGATTACAGACGTGAGCCACCGTGCCCAGCCTCATGACCTTTTTTTTTTTTTGAGATGAAGTCTTTCTCTGTCACCCAGGCTGGAGTGCAGTGGCGTGATCTTAGCTCACTGCAAGCTCCGCCTCCCGGGTTCACGCCATTCTTCTGCCTCAGCCTCCCGAGTAGCTGGGACTACAGGTGCCCACCACCATGCCCGGCTAATTTTTTTTTTGTATTTTTAGTAAAGACGGGGTTTCACTGTGTTAGCCAGGATGGTCTCGATCTCCTGACCTCGTGGTCCGCCCGCCTTGGCCTCCCGAAGTGCTGCAATTACAGGCATGAGCCACCGCACCCGGCCATGGCCTCGTGACTTTAAAAAAAAAAAAAAAAAAAAAAAACTTTGACAGGTATAGTTTTTACTGGTATTGTAACCAAACTAGCATCATCTTTTCATTCAATTCTGAGAAAAAACATGTAGTGAGGATGAGAGTAAGAGTATGTGTTTGGTGGCCCATGGGCTCTTTCACCCACCAGAGGAAGCAGGCAGCCCTAAGAACCAAGAAAATCTGAGAGCTACCATAGAAATATGTTGGTAAGCAAGAGTCTTCTATTGTAATGTGGTGATTAAGACATAGAAGAGCCAGGCGTGGTGGCTGATCCCTGCAATCCCAGCACTTTGGGAGGCTGGGGTGAAAGGATTGCTTGAGCCTAGGAGAGCAAGACCAGCCTGGGCAACACAGTGAGAGCCCATCTCTATAAAAAATTCAAAAATTAGCAGAGTGTGGTTGTGAACACCTGCAGTCCCAGCTACTTGGGAGGCTGAGGCAGGAGGATCACTTATGCCCAGAAGTTCAGAGGCTACAGTGGCCCATGATAGTGCCACCGTACTCCAGCCTGGGTGACAGAACAAGACCCTGTCTCAAAAAACAAAAAAAACAGACATCAAAGAGCTGGGTCTTACATGGGAATTCAACTCTTCTGTCAGTGCATAATGTGAGAAGTAAATATGGCCCAAATTATTCACAAAAACTTTGCTGTATCCACGGTCACATTTACACATCAGCTGCAGGCTATGCACCATCTTGCAGTGAGTCTAACACAGCCAGTTTCACACCAGTGTGAGAAACGACCACTGTTTCTTCTGCCAAGCACCAGATGGAGTAGTTGGCTTGGGTTTAGAAGCCAGTGTTGTAAGAAAAATCCTTATTTCTAAGCACCAGGTTCACTCACAGAGCAGGGAAACAGGCCATGAGAACTATGCAGAGCCAAAAGTAAACAGAATCACATCTCCCATCTCACTTGCACTCTGGGGCAGACACAAAATGGGAAGACAGGTGAGGGAAAGTAGCTGCCCGAATGGATAGCTCTCTTCCCCTTTCTGCCTAAATAATATAGTTCAATCTGTGCAAATTACACGGGCCATTATGTAACTCTACTACCGACTAACGATGAGGTTTGCAAAATTCATGGATATCACAATGTACACGTACTGGCTCTTGGTGCTGTGGCTGTTCACTGGCACAGAAAACATTTTCTTTTGCAACATGGAATAGGAACAAAACATGCCAACTGGCACAAAAAAATCATGAATGTTAAGCACTGAATAGGAAAAGCAATCACAACGGTCATACCTTTCTTGAATGTGACTCGCTATCACAGCAAGTTTGTTGGAACGATTCATGAATAAATGCGAATTTCCCAGCACCATCACAGCATCTATGCATTTGGATAAGGTAAACTGTTGAAAAAAAAGAAAGACATTAGAAAAACAAATTAGCTATCCAAATAACCATGTCAGGTCTTGACATAATTAAGATTTCATTTAGATCGGGTGCAATGGCTCAAGCCTGTAATTCCAGCAGCCTGAGAGGCCAAGGTGGGAGGACTGCTTGAGTTCAGGAGTTTGAGACCAGCCTGGGCAACATAATGAAACCTTAGCTCTATAAAAAAGAAACAAAACTAGCCAGCCATGGTGGTGTGCACCCATAGTCCTAGCTGCTCTGGAGGCTGAGGTGGCAGGATTGCTTCAGCCCTGGAGAGCCAGGCTGCAGTAAGCCAAGATTGTACCACTGTACTGCAGCCTGGACAACAGAGCTAGACCCTGTAACAAACAAACAAAAGACTTCATTTAAATTTTAGATAATTATTCACTGTTAAAAATTCGCTCAGGAGCTCCCCTCCTCCAAAGCCATAAACAAAAACACTTAAAAACTATAGTTTTCTAATTTTACTTATATGAGATCATTTCTACATTAGTACAATATTCCACAAATATTTGCAGCGTAAAATTTAAGGAATAACAAACATGTCACATGTTCTGTGATAAAATTTCCAGCAAACTATTACTATATGTGGAGTAGATAATGAATACATACTGAAAACACTGGAGACCTGTAAAAATGTTTGATATATTTGTTCACTAAGTATACTGAGCCACTACTGTATGTCTGGTATATACTTAGTGAACAATATAGTGGTTGCTCAGTATACTTAGTGGGCAAATGAACTAAAAACTTTTTTTTTTTTGAGATGGAGTCTCACGCTGTCGCCAGGCTGGAGTGCAGTGGCCCAATCTCGGCTTACTGCAACCTCCACCTCCCAGGTTCAAGCAGTTCTCCTGCCTCAGTCTCCCCAGTAGCTGGGACTAGAGGCCCATGCTACCACGCCCAGCTACTTTTTTGATTTTTAGTAGAGATGGGGTTTCACCATGTTGGCAAAGATGGTCTCGATCTCTTTACCTCATGATCTGCCCGCCTCAGCCTCCCAAAGTGCTGGGATTACAGGCGTGAGCCACCATGCCCAGCCTAAAAACTTTTAAATTTTGAAAAAACAAATACAGAATATCACCTTCCCATAAGAACTAATATTACTAAGATACATAAGTCAGTATTTTTTTTTTGGTATTCAAAATGTTCAGAGAAATTTCTCTAGTAACAAACTAAACAAATGATCCTTGAAGTTTTAGTCTTCATAAGTAGATATTTTCATAATCCTAGAATAAGGTCTGTTTCTCTTAAATAATACTTCAGGTAGAAAACAGAACACTGGTGGCCAGGAGTGGTGGCTCACATCCCAGCACTTTGGGAGGCCGAGGCAGGCAGATCACCTGTGGTCAGGAGTTTAAGACCAGCCTGGCTTACATGGCAAAACCCCGTCTCTACTTAAAATACAAAAATTAGCTGGGTGTGTTGGCACATGCCTGTAGTCACAGCTTCTCGGGATGCTGAGGTGGGAGGACTGCTTCAGCACCGGAGGTGGTGGCTGCAGTGAGCTGAGAACGTGCTACTGCACTCCGGCCTGGGTGACAGAGTAAGACTCCATCTCAAAAAAAAGACCAAAACACGGTAAATTTCACCCTACTGGAAAAAAAACCCCTTAAATCTATTAAAATTTCTATTTTGCAAAAAGTGACAATATAAATAAAAGTGAAAGAAAAGTTACAAACTGGAAAAAAATAGTTGCAACGTATGACAAGTAATGGGTTAATCTTTTAATATAAAGAGTGTCCATAAATCATTAATTTTAAAAAAACCACATGCCATGAATATCCAAAGAAAGAAGTGGGTGATGTCCCAAGAGAGAAATACAAATGGCCACGAAATACACTAAAAGCAAATTGAGATTACATTGTTTTTTGCTCCTCATATTGACAAAAGATGAAATAAGGAGAATGAACATCTTGTGCTGGTACAAGAAAAAAGGAACTCTCACACAGCACTGATGAGTGCAAACGCAGCCTTTTTGGAGTAACAGGGCAGCATGCAGTGATGTGCTGGCAGATGTTTAACCATTCACTCTCCAAAAACGAGGTACACATGTACACAAATACACACAGATATTACTGACACAGTAGTCTGTAGCACACAATTTACAAATAACAGTGAAATGCACAATACTCTTTATGGTAAATTGCATACAGTCAATGGATTCTCACAGAATGCCTATGTTGATTTTTGCTGAATTCTTGTATCCATAGCCAATTGAAAAATGAGTATGGTTTGGCTGGGCACGGTGGCTCACACCTGTAATCCCAGCACTTTGGGAGGTTGAGGCAGGTGGATTGCCTGAGTTCAGCAGTTTGCAACCAGCCTGGGCAACACAGTGAAACCCCAACTCTACTAAAATACACACAAAAAAAATTAGCTGACCGTGGCGGCATGTGCCTGTAGTCCCAGCTACTCGGGAGGATGAGGCAGGAGAATTGCTTGAACCCGGGAGGTGGAGACTGCAGTGAGCCGAGATCGCACCACTGCACTCCAGCCTGGGCGACAGAGCAAGACTCCATCTCAAAAAAAGAAAAACGTATGGTTTCAAGTGAAGAATGAGTATAGTTCTAACATGAATATTGTGTGATATTTTTATTTTTTGTTAACAAGCAAAAAGATGCTTATACTTGGTATGAGCAACTGTTTAAGTAACAATTGTAACACTGCATTGTCAGGTTTGTAACACGCAGGGGTGATATGTATGACAGTAAGAACCCGAGGAAGGGGTGGAAATGGATCTATACTGGAGCAAAGCCTCTATATTTTACTGGAATTAAATGAGTATTAACCTAAAGTAGACAATGGTAAGACACATACAGTAATCCCTAGAGCAACTGTTGTGGGTCAAATTATGTCCCCGCAAAAGACATGTTCAAGTCCTAACTTCTGGCACATGTGTATGGGATCTTTTTTGGAAATAGAATCACAAGTAAGAAGAGATCGAACAGGTGCAGTGGCTCACGCCTGTAATCCCAACACTTTGGGAGGCTGAGGTGGGCAGATCACGAGGTCAAGCGATCGAGACCAGTCTGGCCAACATGGTGAAACCCCGTCTCTACCAAAAATACAAAAATTAGCTGGGTGTGGTGGTGCATGCCTGTAGTCCCAGCTACTCGGGAGGCTGAGGCAGGAAAATCACTTTAACCCAGGAGGCGGAGGTTTCAGTGAGCCAAGATCACGCCATTGCACTCCAGCCTGGGCAACAAGAGCAAAACTCCATCTCAATTGCTTGAATTCGGGAGGCAGAGGCTGCAGTGAACCGAGATCATGCCATAGGACTCTAGCTCTGGGTGACAGAGTAAGACTCCATCTCAGGAAAAATAAATTAATTAATTAATAAATTAATTCAGGCCGGGCGCGGTGGCTCAAGCCTGTAATCCCAGCACTTTGGGAGGCCGAGACGGGCGGATGACGAGGTCAGGAGATCGAGACCATCCTGGCTAACACGGTGAAACCCCGTCTCTACTAAGAAATACAAAAAACTAGCCGGGCGAGGTGGCAGGCGCCTGTAGTCCCAGCTACTCGGGAGGCTGAGGCCGGAGAATGGCGTGAACCCGGGAGGCGGAGCTTGCAGTGAGCTGAGATCCGGCCACTGCACTCCAGCCTGGGCTACAGAGCGAGACTCCGTCTCAAAAAAAAAAAAAAAAAAAAATTAATTCAATGTTTGATAGCACAGTAGGGTGACTATACTTAAAAATTATGTAATGGGCTGGCATGGTAGCTCACACCTGTAATCCCAGCACTGTGGAAGGCCGAAGTGGTGGGATTATAGGACTATTTGGGAGAACTGCTTGAAGCCAAGAGTTCAAGACCAGCCTGGGCAACATGGTGAGAACCCGTTTCAACAAAAAATACAAACATTAGCCAGACATGGTGGTGTGCAGCTGTAGTACCAGCTACTCTGGAGGCTGAGGCCAGAGGATTGCTTTAGCCCAGGAATGTGAGGCTGCAATGGGCTATGGTGGCACCACTGCACTCTAGCCTGGGCAACAGAGTGAGACACTTGTCTCAAAAAAAAAAAAAAAAAGGAAAAATTACTGATACAGGCAGCAGCTTGGATGGATCTCAAGGGCATTATGTTGGGTAAACAAAAGCCAACCTCAAAGATTACCAACTGTATGATCTATGTACAAAATAAAATTATAGAAATGGAGATCTGATTAGCATATTCGTGTTTACTAGCGGTTAAGGATGGGGACTAGGAAGGTTCTGTAACTACTATAGAAGGGGCTCCTTTGTAATAAAGCAACAGTTCCATATCCTGAGGGTGGAGCTGATGAACACACCCATCGATGAATGTGGTAAAACTGCACAGAACCACACACACACACACGCACGCACGCATACACACAAATGAGCGCATGTAAAACTTGTAATCTGATTAGGTCTGTAGATTGCACTGACAGTTTCAAAACTGTACTATGGTTATATAAGATGTCACCACTGAAAGAACTTCAGAGATGGGCACACAGGATCTCTCTGTACCTTTTCTGGTTTCCTATGTCTATATTATTTAAAAATAAAATATTTCAAAATAGAAAGTATTTTTTAAGACCACATATTATATGGAATCAATACATGAAATGTCCAGAAAAGGGAATTTAGAGATAGAGGGCAGATCAGTGGTTGCTTGCAGCTTGGAGATAGAAGCAGGGATTGACTGCAAACAGGCACGACGGAACGTTATGCAGTAAAAGAAATGTTCTAAAGCAGAAGTGTGGGGCTGGTTACACAACTTCGCAAATTTCCTTAAAAAAAAAATCACTGAATTGTACAGTGGCTGAATATTACAATATGTAAATTATACTTTAATAAAGCCATTTTTTTAAAACGCAATATAAACACTCAGTTAAATGAGAATTCTCCAAAGGCCTCCTCAAGCAGTCTTACCTGAGATTCCTTTAATGCTTGCTTTCCCCACCAAATTGGGTTGGCATCAACTACAATAACCAGAAGATTCAATTCATCTTCTGAAAATATTAACAAGAAATAAAATTTAAAACATCAGCTTCATAAAATGAATCAAAGCTAACATTTTGAATTCATAAATTAAATCCAGAGCACCACTATAAGCCTTAAATATTTATCACCTTCTAATTATAAGATTAACAGAAGACCCAGTTAAAGCTTTAAAGCTGGGCCGGGCACGGTGGCTCACACCTGTAATCCCAGCACTTTGGGAGGCCGAGGCAGTCAGATCACAAGGTCAGAAGATCGAGACCATCCTGGCTAACACGGTGAAACCCCATCTCTACTAAAAATACAAAAAATTAGCCAGGCGTGGTGGTGGGCGCCAGTAGTCCCAGCTACTCGGCAGGCTGAGGCAGGAGAATGGTGTGAACCCAGGAGGTGGAGCTTGCAGTGAGCCGAGGTCGTGCCACTGCACTCCAGCCTGGGCTGGGTAACAAAGCGAGACTCCGTCTCAAAAAAAAAAAAAAAAGTTTTAAAGCACAGTGAGCCCTTAGCAAGCTCTTGTCTACATCCTGAACCACTATATCTCTAACGCACTAAATGTAAACTCCATGAGGGTGGGAATTTTTGTCTTTTTGTTCACTGCTTATCCTCATTCCTACCACACTGCCTAGCACACTGCAGCTGCTCAATAAATACCTACTGAACGAGGGCCAGGTGTGGTGGCACAGGCCTGTAGTCCCAGCACTTTGAGAGGCCAAAACAGGCAGATGGCTTGAGCTCAGAAGTTCGAGACCAGCCTGGGCAACATGGCAAAACCCTTTCTCTACTAAAAATACAAAAATTAGAGCCGGGCACGGTGGCTCACGCCTGTAATCCCAGTACTTTGGGAGGCCGAGGTGGGCGGATCACTTGAGGTCATGAGTTCAAGACCAGCCTGGCCAACATGGTAAGAAACCCCATCTTTACTAAAAATACACACACACAAAAAAAATTAGCTGGGCTTGGTGGCAAGCGCCTGTAACTCCAACTACTCGAGAGGCTGAGGCAGGAGAATCACTTGAACCTGGGAGGCGGAGGCTGCAGTGAGCCAAGATTGCACCACTGCACTCCAGCCTGGGTGACAGAGCAAGACTTCATCTTGGGGAAAAAAAAAATAGCCAGGCGTGGTGGCACATGCCTGTAGTCCCAGCTACTCAGGAGGCTGAGGTGGGAGGATCGCTTGAGACCAGGAAGTCGAGGCTACAGTGAGCCATGTTCCTGCCAATGCACTCCAGCCTGGGAGACAGAATGAGACTCCGTCTGAAAAACAAAAAACAACAACCAAAAAAAAAACACCTGCTGCATTCTGAATGCCTGGTCAAGGACAGAAGGCACTGATTAACCAGTAGTAGGAATCCCAGTGGTAGAATTTCAGGAGCAAAAAATTAAAGGGACGCTTAGATGTCAATTTGGCCCATACCCATCAAAGCATGTAGCAGCAAGGCCAATTGTAATTAAGAGTCACTTTTTAGGCCGGGCGCGGTGGCTCATGCCTGTAATCCCAGCACTTTGGAAGGCCAAGGCGGGCGGATCACAAGGTCAGGAGATCGAGACTATCCTGGCGAACACGGTGAAACCCCGTCTCTACTAAAAATACAAAAAAATTAGCCGGGCGTGGTGGTGGGCGCCTGTAGTCCCAGCTTCTCAGGAGGCTGAGGCAGGAGAATGGTGTGAACCCTGGAGGTGGCAGAGCTTGCAGTGAGCCGAGATCACGCCACTGCACTCCAGCCTGGGGGACAGAGCGAGACTCCGTACCAAAAAAAAAAAAAAAAAAGAGTCACTTTTTAAAAGGTAAAAAAAACCAGGCTGGGTGCAGTAGCTTAAGCCTGTAATCCCAGCACTTTGGGAGGCTGAGGTGGGCAGATCACCTGAGGTCAGGAGTTCAAGACCAGCCTGGCCAACATCGTGAAACCCCGTCTCTACTAAAAATACAAGTATTAGCCAGGCATGGTGGCACACGCCTATAATTCCTGCTACTCGGGAGGCTGAGGCAGGAGAATCGCTTGAACCTGGGAGGCAGAGGTTGCTGTAAGCCAAGAGCGCGCCACTGCACTTCAGCCTGGGCGACAGAGCGGGACTCTGTCTCAAAAAAAAAAAGTAAAAAAGCAGAGGGAAAAGCAATTCCTGCATCAAAATTTTACCGTTAAGAGGAATTCTATTCTCTAAACTAAACAGGCTACAACACATTCATCATTTGTTTGGATTTTTTTTTCTTTTTTCTTTTTTTGAGACAGTCTCACTCTGTCACCCAGGCTGGAGTGCAGTGGCGTGATCTTGGCTCACTGCAAGCTCCGCCTCCCAGGTTCACACCATCCTCCCTGCCTCAGCTTCCCAAGTAGCTGGGACTCCAGGTTTAGCCCACCACCACACCTGGCTAATTTTTTGTATATTTTTTCTAGTAGAGACGGGGTTTCACCGTGTTAGCCAGGATGGTCTCGATCTTCTGACCTTGTGATCCGCCCGCCTCAGCCTCCCAAAGTGCTGGGATTACAGGCATGAGCCACCGTGCCTGGCCTTTTTGAGTGTTTTTTTAAGAGATGGGGGTCTCGATAAACTGCCCAGGCTGGTTTTGAAATCCTGGGCTTGCGATCCTCCTGCGTTCGCCTCCCCAGTAGAGTAAGGACTACATGCATGCACCACCCCAAACACATTAGTCCTTCAACAACAGTGTTAAGATGTTGAGGATACTGGGTCCAATCCCTCAAAGAGACTATACTCTAATTGAGGTGACAGATAGACATACAAACCTGTGAGCACACACTGTTATGAAAGGCCCAGGACGCTCATTTATTTATTTATGTATTTTTAAACAAATTTTTGAGACAAGGTCTCAAGGTTGGAGTACAGTATCACAAATATAGCTCACTGCAGCCTTGACGTCCTGGGCTCAAGTGATCTTCCTGTCTCAGTCTCCCACATAACTGGGACAACAGGCGTGCACTACCACATCCAGCTAAATTTTTTTTTTTCTTTCGAGGTGGAATTTTGCTCTTGTTGATCAGGATGGAGTGCAATGGCACGATCTCGGCTCACCACAACCTCCGCCTCCTGGGTTCAAGTGATTCTCCTGCCTCCGCCTCCTGAGTAGCCGGGATTACAGGCATGCGCCACCAAGCCTAGCTAATTTTGTATTTTTAGTAGAGATGGGGTTTCTCCATGTTGGTCAGGCTGGTCTCGAACTCTTGACCTCAAGTGACCTGCCTGCCTTGGCCTCCCAAAGTGCTGGGATTACAGGTATGAGCTACCGCGCCCAGCCACCCAGCTAATTTTTAAATTTTTGTAGAGATGGGGTCTCATTTTGTTGGCTAGGCTGGTCTCGAACTCCTGGGCTCAAGTGATCCTCCTACCTCGGCCTCCTAAAGTGTTGGGATTACAGGCGTGAGCCGCCGTGCCCGGCTCCAGGATGCTCATTTAATAGCAAAGAGCAGTAATGCCTTTCCTCCCTCCATACTTTTCTTCCTGCAGTCCTGTCTTCTACATTAGGATAATCTCCACCCTATATTTGATTTCTGCTTATTCAAATCCCAATTACTCCTCAAGGCCCCAAACCAAAGCAAACTCTTTCTTCTTCGTGACTCCCCTACCTCAGAGCAGAAGGAATACCAGCCTTCTCTGCACTAAGCACCGGAATCTGCAATCCCAAAATCCCATTCCATCCTGACAACCACCCAGCAAAGGACATTTTCCTGCCATTTTTCATCAATTATAAGACCACCCCCACCCCATGATTTTTACAACGAATAGTTGTTGACATCTGGATGGTATCCTTATCATTAAGATTAGTGGCATTTTTTCTTTCTTAGTGGTATATTAAATAATGGTACATCTCATAATCAATATTATCTTAGATTAGCTGAAATATGAAATATGGTATTCCTATTCTGCAAATGAAAGTAACGTGTCCTAAGTCACATATGGCCTGCTAACAAGTGGCAAGGCCAAAGCCCTGTTCTAAAGACAGATCTGCTTGACTATAAAGACTGTGACTCTTCACTGCCCCACTGCCCACCTCTGACAACCCACAGCTCTCTCTTCTAATGGCACTTAGCACTTACTACTTCATTTTACAGTTAGTTGTGCTTCTGATGTCTCTTCCCAGTCCTGCCCACTTAAGACTGTGGACTTCTTAAAAACGATGGAATTTGCTAATCCTAGGATAAAATAATGTGTGTAAAACAGGACTGGTGTAGTGGCTCACGCTTGTAATCCCAACACTTTGGGAGGTCGAGGAAGAAAGATCACTTCAGCCCAGGAGTTTAAGACTAGCCTGGGCAAAATAGTGAGATCTTGTCTCTTTTTTTCTTTTTTTTTTTTGCGACGGAGTCTTGCTCTGTCACCCAAGCTAGAGTGCAGTGACACGATCTCGGCTCACTGCAACCCCCGCCTCCTGAGTTCAAGCACTTTTCCTGCCTCAGCCTCCCAAGTAGCTGGGATTATAGGCGTGCACCACCTCGTCCAGCTAATTTTTTTGTATTTTTAGCAGAGATGGGGTTTCGCCATGTTGGCCAGGCTGGTCTCAAACTCCTGACCTCAAGTGATCCACCCACCTTGGCCTCCCAAAGTGCTGGGATTATAGGCGTGAGCCACTGTGCCCAGCCACCTTTTTTTTTTTTTTAATAGAAAAACCAAACAAAAAAATGTGTAAATCACACAACGAAGCACCTAGGACAGAAGCACTTAATACAACTGTGTCTGCCAGACAGAAAAAGTGTTGCCTGTAAAGAAAAGTGTGCATCTATACACCCACAATGTCCCTGTGAATTTCCTTCTTTAGTTCGCTACCTCATTTGTAGACAGAAGCAATGCCAGGCCTGCCTCCCTCACAGGGTTGTGGTACGGTTTCACATCAATTAAGAGAGGATGGACAATTATTACAGTTCCTGAAAGGGATCCCCTATCTCTATTCTTGCTCCCCACAGTCCATTTTCCACACAACAGCCACAGTGATCTTTTAAAATTGCAAACCAGATCATAACACTTTCTGGCTTAAAACTCCACAATGTCTTTGTCTTGCACCTAAAAATAAAGCCTAACTTCTCTATCACGGCCAATAAGGCCCTGCATGACCTGAAACTGGCTGGTTCTCTGATCTCATCCCTCTAGCCTCCTTTTTCTTCAAGACATCTGACTGTGTATGTGGCAGCTAATGTATGAATGGGTCTCCCCACCATCCTCTACCCGCAAGCTCTCCATTCCTCCCTTCTCGGTGTAACTTGTAACTCTGCCACAGGGCCCTTGCACTTAAAGTGCACTTTCCCAGAACTTCACACAATCATTTGAGTCGGTTTCAATATCCTGCATTTTTCCTTGGCCCCGATTAAAACAGCGCCTCCTCAAAGTCACAACGTACTATTGTAACTAGGACCGTATTATTACATGATCTTCATAGCTCTTTTCATCCTTTGAAAAATAATTTATTTTTTAATTTTTTATTGATGAGGTCATGCCCTGTCACCCATGCTGGGAGCAGTGCTCCGATCATAGCTCACTGAAGCCTCGAACTCCTGGGCTCAAGTGATTCTCCCGCCTCACCCTCCCAAGTAGCTGGGACCACAGACACGCGCCCGGCTAATTATTTTATTTTTCTGTAGAGATGGGGTCTGGCTGTGTTGCCCAGGCAGGTCTCGAACTCCCGGCTTCAAGCGATTCACCGGCCTCGGCCTCCCAAAGTGCTGGGATTACAGGCCTAATCCACCCGGGTGTGACCCGGCCGAAATTATTTTTATTTATTGTCGTCTGTTTCACCCAGTAGACTGTAACCTCCACTAAGGCCCCTGTCTGTCACGATCCCTGCTACAATCCAATAAATAATGCCTGCACACAGGAGGCGATCCAAAAATATTTACTGAATGAATGACTGAATGCCTTGGCTACTCCTCTAAAGACCAAACGGGTTCTATCCAGCCCAAAAGACACACTCCATCTGGCCGGTCATAGCCGGATCGAGCCCGCCGAGCCCCGGAGTCGAACTCCGCCCTGCAGGGTCCTCACCGTCTGAAACCATAGCTGTCCCAGCACCTCAGCGAAGAACAAGCGGTGGTCAGGCGAGCGTCTCAAACGCTGCGCAGCCCAACATCCGGCGCCGCCGAGTGACGCACAAGGTGCTTTGACTCATGCCAGCCCCCTAAGCTGCGGAAGTGGAGTGCGGAGGTGCGTCGGCTGTGGGGTACGGAAGTGCGCCACGGCAGTGCGCCGGAAGTGTGGTGCGGAGGTGTGCGGTGCGCTGTCAGACTGGCTGGGAGGCGGCGCGGCCGGCGGACCCGTTCAAGACAGCGCAGGCGGCTCGGGTGCCCTGGGGCTCCGCCGCAGGAGGACGCCATGGACGACAAGGGTAAATCAGGACAGGCCAGGGCTGCTAGGCTACAGCAGAGCCGTTCAGGGGTCCCCCCAACCTCTCACATCCAGGCTGAGCTCCCGAAGAGATTTCTTTTGAACTTCAGGCTGCTTCACTGGATGTGTTTCCTCGAGTCACAGCTAAATCCCCCGCGCTGCTCTTGTTTTCAGGGATGCGTCCTGACGGTATTTGCAGGCACCCCTGCCACACATACGCTCCTTCCCGGTGCCTGTCTCCAGAAGGGCCTTCGCAGTTTCGATTTCCTTATATGTGAAATAGGAGTAAGACTCCCTGCCTTGTTGGATCTGTCATTAAAATTAGAATGAATAAGGCATATTTGATGTGCTTATCTAGTATGCTTATTAAGTGAAACACAAGGGCAAACTAATATACTTTTCATTAAAGAAATAAAGGGGAGTGGGTGGAACTCCATATGTATTTGTAACATATATGTGTATGTGAATAGACTTGTATTAGCATAGACTGACTGGAGGGGTGCAGGAGAAATTGGCAAGGTGGTTGACTTTGGGATCCTCTCAGATCTTAGGGCCAAGGATGCTGAAGAGAGAATGACTTTTCATCATCATTTACTCGGGCTTATTTTTAGGCCTTGCACACCGGTAGCTTTTTCAAAATAATGAAGAGCTCTTGCAAACAGCAAAGTGGTGTTTTCTCTATTCCTATCAACGTTTATTGCATCCCTGAAACTAAATACCCTAAAAAGAAAGTATTTTTTAAATTATTTGCTTCTTAAAAAGTCAGCAGTCATTAACAAGCTCTCTTGCCTTACATGCTGCTAAATGAATTAGATGAATCGCTTTTTTCACTTTTTCCAGAGTTAATTGAATACTTTAAGTCTCAGATGAAAGAAGATCCTGACATGGCCTCAGCAGTGGCTGCCATCCGGACGTTGCTGGAGTTCTTGAAGCGAGATAAAGGTATAGAGAGTCATCTGTTAACATTCTGGGATTTAGGAAAGTCTTTTTTTTAAAAAACGAGACGGAGTCTCGCTCTGTCGCCCAGGCTGGAGTGCACTGGTGCAATCTTGGCTTACTGCAACCTCCGCCTCCTGGGTTCAAGCAATTCTCCTGCCTCAGCCTCCTCAGTAGCTGGGACTACAGGCGCATGCTGATAAAACAGAAATTTTAATTCAACTGAACGACCATTATGCCATTATGTCCTTGGCATGTGTTGGATTCAAAATTATAAGACACAGTGCTTACCGTCCATATTTCGTTTTTTTTCTTTTCTTTTCTTTCTTTTTTTTTTTTTTGAGACAGGTTTGCTCTTGTCTCCCAGGCTGGAGTGCAGTGGCATGATCTTGGCTCACTGCAACTTCTGCCTCTCAAGTTCAAGTGATTCTCTTGCCTCAGCCTTCCGAGTAGCTGGGATTACAGGCATGCACTATCACACCTGGCAAATTTTTTTATTTTATTTTTAGTGGAGACGGGGTTTCACCATGTTGGCCACACTGGTCTTAAATCCTGACCTCAGGTGATCTGTCCGCCTCGCCCTCCCAAACTGCTGGGATTACAGGCATGAGCCTGTGTTCGGCCAGGAAATTCTTCTCATGACTTTTGGAAATGTAGAAAGTGAGAGATGCATGTTTGCCTGCATAAAGTAGTACAGCTCCAAGCTCAGTTTCTGCCTTCATTTCAGACTTTTCAATCTGGAGAGAGCCCTTACATTGTCATCAAAAGGATCCCTATCATAAGTGAAATATACTTTGAATCAAGAGTGACTATTTTATATTGTGTTAACCATGATGCTTAAATTACAGTAGCAGTTCAGCTTTATAAGTGTTTATTAGGCCTCCACCTTGTGCCAGATTCTGTACAGATGTTACAGGGAATGTTCCAGAATAAATTCTGGTATCAGTATTATTTATTGTGATCCCCTAATTCAGCACCCTAAACGTTAGCATCTAGGTATAGCATGAAATCTTGTATAGGCAAAATAATAATAAGGCCTTTAATCTGAAGGGCAGGCCTAGAGACGCTTGTCTGTAAGGCAACCTGCAGTGTCTTCCCATTGTTCTTAAAATAACATCCAAACAACCTTAGCCTCACCCATACCACCTTGCAGAACTCATCTGCCGCTGCTACTCAATGTGTTTCCATGCCTCAGCCTCCCAAAGTGCTGGGATTATAGGCGTGAGCCACCATGCCTGGCCACCCGGCTTTATTTCTATGTGTGCTTGTTTACTATCCGCTTCCTCTATTAGAATCAAAACTCCGTCAGATCATAACCCTAGGGGCCTGTCTTGTTCACTGATATATTCCTCTTATCTAGAACAGTGCCTGGTATAGAGTATGTACCTAATAAATGTTCATTGAATGAATGAATGAATTGAAGACACAGGTCGGGGCTGTGGTCCTAATGTGAACATCATATTCCTTGGATCATTCCAGGGGAGACAATCCAGGGCCTGAGGGCGAATCTCACCAGTGCCATAGAAACCCTGTGTGGTGTGGACTCCTCCGTGGCAGTGTCCTCTGGCGGGGAGCTCTTCCTCCGCTTCATCAGCCTTACCTCCCTGGAATACTCCGTAAGCACCTGCTCTCCCTGGGGTTACCTTTCTACTTCTCCATTTAGTGACAGACATTCTCAGCATTACCTGGATCTTCCCTGTCCCCTCATTTTGCTCTTTTCTTCCTAGGATTACTCCAAATGTAAAAAGATCATGATTGAGCGGGGAGAACTTTTTCTCAGAAGAATATCACTGTCAAGAAACAAAATTGCAGATCTGTGCCATACTTTCATCAAAGATGGAGCGGTGAGTGGATAACCATCATGCATGCTAAGGAGGAGCAAGGGCTTCGAGTCTGACTGCCTGGGGTAAAATCCAGGCTTTGGCATTCATTTGCTGTGGAGCCTTGGACAGGTTACTTAACGTCTCTGCACAGCTTTCTCATCTGTTCAATAAGGGTGAGAATAGTACCTACCTCCTAGGGTTGTTGTGAGGATTAAATGAGGCAGGACGTGTAAGGGGCAAAGGGTGTGAGGGCTTGGTATTGTGTCTGGCACTTAGTAAGTGCCACGTGAATGTAGATCTTGTTATTAGAGACGGTTGTCATTGTAAACAGGCAGAGAGGGACAGTGGGACAGCATGTGTGATTCTTGATTTAATACAGTGTTTTACTAAAGAAGTATTTTTATGATTGTGTATGTAGTAAATCTGAATTAACACAGAACAGCTCTTGTCACTGGTTAACATTGAGGACTTTCTTAGTGAAGGTTAGCAATAAAGGGAGATTGAGGGAAATTTTCTTTTTAACTTCATTTTAGATGCTATTACAGAGATGTAAAGCTGCTCAGTGTTTATAAGTGAGGAAAGACAGGAGGTGCAAGTTGAGCCATCTCCCAGCACAGGTGCAATGAAACTTTCATAATGCCCCTCCCACCAGCATACGTCCTTTTGCTACCTCGGCCTCCCCTGACCATAAAATTACTTACTTGCGGCCGGGCGCGGTGGCTCAAGCCTGTAATCCCAGCACTTTGGGAGGCCGAGACGGGCGGATCACGAGGTCAGGAGATCGAGATCATCCTGGCTAACATGGTGAAACCCCGTCTCTACTAAAAAGTGCAAAAAAACTAGCCGGGCGAGGTGGCGGGCGCCTGTAGTCCCAGCTACTCGGGAGGCTGAGGCAGGAGAATGGCGTAAACCCGGGAGGCGGAGCTTGCAGTGAGCTGAGATCCGGCCACTGCACCCCAGCCTGGGCGACAGAGCGAGACTCCGTCTCAAAAAAAAAAAAAAAAAATTACTTACTTGCATTTTGACTCTTAAATCTTGTCCTCCATTTTATTAGCCCCTTCCCAACCTTTGACATTTGTTATTAAATAAATGGCATAATAGATGTGAGTGAAACTTGTTCAAAAGCCAGTTGCAAACAAAGCCTTTTTTGGGCAAGTGGAGGCAAGGTTGTGAGTTCCTTTCACTGGGGCCTTCTCCTTCCACAGACCTGCTGTGCCATCAGTATTGTGCAGGTTTCGTTTGCTCTAGTGTAGTGTGATACATGTGTACTTCACCTGCAGTCACCTACTCAGGACTGATTTAGACAAAATTCATAGCAGAGCTGCTCAGATTTGAAAGTGCAGAGGAGTCAGGTGGGGTCTTATTAAATGCAGATTGGGATTCAGTGGGTTTGGGCTAGGGCCCAGGAAGCTGCCTTTCTAACAGGTTCTCAGGTGAGACCCAGAAAGGAGCTAGAGAGCTGGTTCTGCCCTCTTGTCTTACTCTGTCTTCTGCACTCTTCCACAGAAAAGAGGTTATGGAGGCTGGGCATGGTGGCTTATGCCTGTAATCCCAGCACTTTGGAAAGCCAAGACGGGCAGATTGCTTGAGTCCAGGAGTCCAAGACCAGCCCGGGCAACATGGCAAAACCTCATCTCTACTAAAAATACAAAAACTTAGCCAGGCGTGGTGGCACAATCCTGTGGTCCCAGCTACTCGGGGGCGTGAGGTGGGAGAATCACCTGAACCCAGGAAGTTGCGGCTGCAGTGAGCTACCATACCACTGCATTCCAGCCTGGGCAACAGGAGTGAGATCCTGTCTCACCAAGAAAAAAAAAAAAAAAAAGGAAGAAAGAAAAGAGGTTATGGGCCCACTGCAGTGGCTTATGTGTGTAATCGTAGCCAGAGGTTCGCTTGAGGCCAGGAATTCAACACTAGCCTGAGCAACATAGGGAGAGAGGCCCTATTTCTACAAAAAATAAAATAAATTAGCTAGTCATAGTGCTGCACATC